GGGGTTATGTTTGAATAACCAATCGTAACCAATGAATACACGGGCTTTCCCGAGCCCTGTAACCAAGAAGCGCTGTCGCTCCTTGTGTGGTCCAACGGTCATGATCAACTCTACGTAATGAGTGATCTTTCCCCGAGCGTTCTCCGTTCCATCAGCGTTGCGGGCGACAATGTGCACGTCGAGCTCGTGTTGCTCAAAACCTTCAGCCTTGGCGTAATCTCGATCAATGCATGTAGTAGTGCATCCATTATCAAGAAGAGCCTTGACTGCACGTGTCTTCCCGGTATCTAACGCTTCAAGCATAACGGGAACAAGCATCTCGTGATGCTTTCGTTGTTTCTGGAATTCCTTCAACTCCTGTGCCAACCGATCCGGCTTTGGTCCTTTCTGCCGGGCAGCCGCTTCCCGCATGCGAATGGCATCGGGTGTTTTTGTCCTCTTGGGCGCTTCCTCCGTCTTTCCGGATTGAGCCCTCACGGCATCGCCGTCCTTTTTCGTCTCACTATTTTTATCACTGGTTTGGGTTCCAGGGGCCTTTTTGAATGCGCTCCACCTCTTATTTACTTCGTCCATATGTTTGTTCTTTAAATTACGTTTCCGATTCTGATTCTCCATAATACATATTTTTTGTCCTTTTTCTACACTAGCTACTAAGAAATTGTTTATACTCTTTCGTAAGCTGGCATTTTCTTCTGTGTACATGTCATCTGTATCTGTATCTACCGTGTCCGTAGTGTCTATATTATTTAATTCTGTGAAGCGTCCATATTTCGTATCAGGGGGCGCCGCTTTGGCCGCAAGCGGGGGCCCCTTTAAAAACCCTTCTCACGAAGGATGGCCGCTAGGGCCTGCAGGTCTTCCTGCGTGTAGTGCTCGGTTTGGATGGATCGAATATTGAATTTTTTCTTGGGAGGCTCCGGGCACTCCCGCTTCATGTGACCGTCCTTGCCACAGTTATAGCATTTAAAGGCTCGTGTCTGCTGTCGTGCCCTGTCCACGTCCATGGCGTCCGGATCTCTCGCTGGTGGGGCCACTTGTGTCATCCCTTTGTTAGCGGTGGGCGGTACTGTCTGTTCCACCCGGGGAGACCAAAACTGTCTCCTTCGTCCCTGTCGGATCTGGTCTCTCTGCAGATTGCCATCGATCTGCATCAAGCGGGCTTTGAAATCCTTGTACGTGGTGGGCAAGGCTGTCCCCCCCAGGTAGATTTGCGAAATGATCTCATGTCCAACGAGATCCTCCAATAGCTCAACCAAAAAGGCATTGTAACCTGTTGTTGTTGAGTTCGGGGAGTACCCCGCCTGCTCCGCATAGAGCTCGAAATGCTGGAAAAACTCCACCAGCGACATTTTTCCCTGACACGTAGTCGTCAGTTTCAGGTGGGCCAACTGCGCAAGGTTCTGATCCTTGAACGCGGCTTCCAGTTCGACAATCAACTGGTCGAACGTGTAGGTGGTCGGGAGGGCGCAATTGACGAATGTCCTCTTCTTCCAGTTTTGGACCCAGTCCGAAGCTGTGCAATCTGTTCCGTCCGCATTTCGGAGGAACGACACGGTGAAGAAAACTTTCTTCTTGTTGGTGTTTAACTCATTGTCATACGCGGCGATGTAGGTGGACAGGGAGTCGTGGAAGTTATTCCACTTGGTCTTGTCACCGTTAAAGAACGGCGGGGTGGTGGCAAGGATAACCTTAGACGACATGTCTAGGCTTAGGAGGTGGAAGGGAAGGGATAGTGGTGACGACGGATGTGTGGTAGTCTGCGGAGAGGGTGAAGAGGATAATGGCGAGCACGAATGGGATTCGTCCGAGGAGTCAGGACTGGTGTGTATACGAGGTGCCAAACGGGACACTGTGGCGAATTCCGCACGAAGCGATGAGTGAAGTCAATGCGGTCTTTTGCGAGTGAAACTATCCCGGGTCTTCTACAACACCCCCGACAATAGCGAGATGGTCCTCTCCGAAGATCTGACCAGTGCTCCTACGACTGCTTTGTGGCTGAGGACGGACTCAACGTTTCCCGTGGCCAAGCGTCTGTTCACTATAGTGGACCGCCAATGATTGGCGCTGCAATTGTTTAGACTCACTGTGGACGAGGTAGTATGTTGGTGGGTAAGAATGGATCTTCAAATACGAGAGTCCAAGTAAAAAGGTAAGGATGACGCAAATAGTGCGCGTAGTGGGGGAGAAAGGGAAAGGAGGTTGGTAGGGGATGGCGGTACGAGGGTATGATGGGTAACCTTTTATTATGTCACAGTCAAGACTAAATCGCGTCCAATATCAAAGATAAAGGATTGGGGAGTGCGATGTGTATAGCTCGAAAGAGGATGGAATAAAAGGTTAACTACTACAGACAACTAGCTACTGTATATATACTGTTTTATCGGGCCGTGTGAACGAGAACATAAATATACTACAATAGTCTGTAACCATGTGTTGTACTTGCGTTGTCCATGAGATCTGTCAAGACCTATTAATTAAATGTGTGTTCCTCATGTGAACCGTCCCTCCACCATGTGTTCTTACAAAGCGACCTGTATCCTCATGTATAAGGTGTGTTTGTCGTGTGTTTGTCCAGAACGTTCCGAGGATATTAATAAGTGCTCATATAATATAAGCGCCAAAGATTAGATAGGCACATGTTTACATAAGGCATTGGAACGATTAGATAGTATCAAATCGTGACAATTTCCGATCCCGAAACGGTCGTAATCCGGTCCGAGTACAGTTGTACCTGAGTGTTGGTTGCGGTGGAGTTCAAATGTAAGTGTTCCGGAGTCCGAAGCCGCGCCTCCTGATCAAATCCAAGTACAGTTATACTTGGACGTAATTGGTGGGTTCAAAACACGCTGGTCGTGCATCCTTCGCTCCTTCTGAGATTGCTATTGTGCTCTCCTCTCCAAACCCGGTTGATTTGTGCACAGTATTACATATAAAAATTACGCAAGGAATATTCCGAATTATATCTATATAAGAAAACGACTTGCGATACCTTGTATTTTGATCGGCGCCCGCGGTCCGGCTAGCCCGTCCTTGGCGATGGATTTCCATTTTTGGAAGTTCATCATTTGTCTTCCTTGTGTTCGTTCAACACAACTACGGTCTTTTGACCTTTGCCGGGGCTATTCCCTGACTGTCCTCGGATATAGGCTTTGATTTATGCAATTAAAAAAATTGACCCCAAATGTGTGTTTGGAAATTTTTCTCACCTTGAATGTGCTGGGAAATTTTGAACTACCAAATGAGGGTTGGGAAATTTTCAATTCCTGTAAATGAATTTTGGGAAAATAGCCTCAAATTCCCATCTCATACTCAACTGAAAAAAGGTCTATATGTGTTGGGAAAAGATGAAATTTTGCTATGTGTGTTGGGAAAGTGATGTTCATTGGGAAATAATGAGAGTGCATTTGGAACGGCATACAAAACTGACCTTTTTCCGACACTTTCATTCACGGTCTCAAACACGATAAAAGTGTCGGAAAAGCGGATATTGAACAATAAAAATGTCGGAAAGTTGAAGAATGTCAAAAAAAGTGTCGGAATATTAAAAGTGCACTTTGACCGCCATATGGTTGAGACAATTCAAGGTGCACATACCGGAACGCTGCGAGTGCAGCACCTCGTTAATGATTCTCACTGCTCTCATTGATGTCAGCAGCAAGTTTGCGTTGGTGTGCAGCTTCGATGAGGAGCTAATGGTGTACCATTAGTGGTATGGGACATGAATTACTTATATTGTGATACTCGCCAGCATAGCAGTTTGAATGTCCTGTAACTCGTGCTCGCACATTGCAAAGTTGCGGAAAATAGCCCTTATTTTTTGCAGATAAGATTTCCACGACATGGTGTGCATTTCCAGCAACTGGGACTGGAGCCTGGAGGTGGAGAGCTTGACCCTGTGTGTGGTGTAAGTAATCATCACCATGCATCAGCGAGTCTTACCGGAGAAACCGAGTTTCGTTTTCGGCCACCGCTAGATGATCCCGCATGCACTTCGCCTTTGTGTGGGTTAGGATGTCCTCGACAATGGCGATTGAGTTGTGGAGTCAGTTAAGCCGGACAGACGGGCGGTTGAGGTGGATGGAATAAAGCATGAAGAGGACCGACACAACAGCGAGAGCAATGTATTGAAAGATGTTGCCTGGGATGAGGGATACCATCCAAAATATGAGAGAGGATAGCAATGGATGATTAGTAGCAGGCATGCTTGGGTATTGAAATGAGCATGGTCAGGCCAGCCACTTGCCACTTTATACCGCTGTTCGGCATTCATGTTCACGCAATTTCCGAATGGGGAAGGCATGCGCTGAAATATCAAATAGCCGAACCTCCTGCACAGAGGCGCACGTCCAACCGCACGACACAGGGCTGTGCCGAGCAGGAACTTCACATAATTTTCCAAATGGGGAAGGCATGCGCTGAAATATCAAATAGCCGAACCTTCTGCACGGAGGCACCCGTGGCTGCGACACATCGGGATATAAAAATTGTGCAATGATCATGACACCCTGATTATGATGATTCTGCAGGACTCAAACTACGGGTGCCATACATGTGCCGGTACTTGAAAACACTCGCAAATAGGCCCGCAGTGTCGTAAACCATGTTCGAGTTGATGGCTGTGTCCTGGGAAGTCGAGTTGGTTATCAATTTTCTGAGTGACGATGAGCCCAGCTGAGTTCAGACACAGGGGGGGGGTGAACCCCAAGTGGCCCCGTGGAAAATAGTTCATCGATGTAAGCGGGCGCCCGTGTATCGTAAAACATGTCCGAGTTGCTTTCTCTTCTGCAAAGCTGGACAAGTAAGCGTGTTGCCGGGAGCAGCGGCGAAAATGAACGTACCGATATACAGCTGAGAAAAATGCACACTAGGTTAAAGGCACCCGTGTGAAGGCGGGGAGGTATTTATCTAAAAACAATCAGCCAAAGAAAAGGCAAGAGCGGGCAGAACATCAAGGAAACGGGAAAAAAAAAATCAGAGAAGGGAATTATATATTTCACACATTCAGACACAGGGATTCGAACCCAGATCAGCCTCATAATCAAGGTGCAGGAAACTCAACTATAGAGATGGTGTTGCCGTTACACCATGTCTGACGGGATGCACTTCCTCCCAGCTGAGTCTAAGATAATGAACCCGGCCAGTGGCTATAGCGAGTCTGCAGAATAATAATAATACAAACCTGGCAAGCTCATATACTGGAAGGCGTATGAAGACTATGAAACTGAGAGGTTATACACCCACACTGTGTTTGAGTGTTCGGAAGGCCAGTGTTCTGTCCATACACCATAACTGACCACGCACTGAGCCAGACTTTGTTAGGAGTTTGTCAAGGATGGCGCAGATTGCCCGGCTAAGGCATTCAAATTGCAAGGCCAGTATTCTAGGCACCGTGATCACGTCTACGCAAAGATTGAGGGCAAGGACAAAGCCAACGCTCTCATTTGGGTCAATGAGACCGTCTGTCGGGGCCTCAAATGGTTTGCGGACCACGTTGAGCAAGCGGATGGTGTCTTCCTCATCAAGACCATCAACTACGACCCAGACGAGGCCAACATAGTCTCTACTGTGATGTGTCAACTCACGGTGCCGGCCAGGGTGGAATGGGCTTCTACATCCCAGCACTGTTCTTGGCCTTCCAGTCTGACCTCTCCGCAGGAATCAGCGAAGACCTGAAGATTTTCTTCTATGAGGCCTTATGTGTCTGCGCTGCAATTCACCAAGCTGCCACCCACTCTTCAAATTCCGCCGCAGGTGTCAAACCTAAATCGGGTAATTCTGATGGCAGCAAATTTCGGCGCATTCAAGCTCTGTTCCTTTATGTGTGGTTCAAACAATACACGTGCCAGGCCTAGACATCTTCAGCTGCAGCTGTCATTGTCAGTCTGGTAGAGCAGTTATTACAAAGTCCCATTCTGACAGCAGGCGGTCATGGAGTGGGTTCGAACCCGCAGGCAGTAATGTTTTGGGACTTGAATTTTTTCTTCGGCCCCTCGGCGAGCGGCAGCACCACGCCGTTGGCCCGGCGGCGAGCCTAAAATTGGCTTCGTGGAAGTCTCTCCCGCCCTAGGTAAACTCGCACAGATGAGATTACAGCAATTTGCAGTACATAAGGCGTGGGCCTCTTTTATTTTATTTTTTTGACCAGTTTTGGCTGGAACAGTTGCCACGGTCTCAGTTTTGATCGGATTCCCTCGGGTGTAGGCGCGTTGGAGTCGCGCTGAAAATTTGCAGGGGATGGAGTGACCAGTTTTTTTTGATGAGATCAAAAAATAAAACTTTTTATCATTTTCATCATGTTTCCGCATAGGACAGCTGTAACTTCAATTCTTGATACTCGATTAACCTAAATTTTTGACACTGTATCTTCCTACATATCCTCTATGGGATGAAATACTCCAATAAGGAATGTGACCAAATTTGACTCCCCATTGCCCCCTTTTGTGGGGGCATAAATTTTCTGTCCCAATGTGAGGCACCCTATACAGGTAAATGCTCTTCATGGCTTCCCATCAAGAGTCCCATCCCTTAGATATCATGCATGTATATAGCATATCCAAAATTTAGGTCAATCTGAGATCTGTGTCCCGAGTTAGAGCTGTCCTATGCAGAAACATGCTGTTACGCACAGGTTTTTAAATATTTGTGTGGGACTCTGGCTGTAAATCTAACCCACTCTATTTTTTCGAGTGGTAGGCCGTATACCCCCTAAAACCCCCTTTACTATAGTCCAGTCATCTGGCAAGGAATCTTCATCAAGGAGTGTTCCACTCCAGGTGTTGAGCACCAGTTGCTTTCTTGTTGCAAGGGAACCAAATCTAGCACAATTTGAGAGTAGTCGATCTCGGTTCAGGGCAGCATTCATCCATGACACGCAGCGATTATGTATCTCCTTTTCTGATGCCATTGTATGAGTATTCGATCTCGGTTCAGGGCAGCATTCATCAGTGACACCCAGCGATTATGTATCTTGTTTTCTGATGCCATTGTATGTGTTTCGGGGACTCTTTCATTCCTCAAGCTCCAGATTAGACTCTTTGATGTCGATACAATAATTGTAAAGAAACGGCTCTGCACCGGAATTGGCTTCCCTTTGGGAGAGGTGAATCGTGCCAGTCCACAACCCAAAATAAGTCCCCAATTTAGCTTGCAGAATATCTCTGTAAGTCGCCATACCTGGTGTTGACCAGGGGCATCGCATTCCAGCATAATATGCTCGAGAGACTCAAGCACTCCACATGATTGACATTGTCCCACCATCTCGTGAGCTCATCGTCCAGCTATTGCCGTGAATTTCATGTAACTTGTTTTCTTGATCCTGGACAACATCAAATATTATTTTGACTTCGTACAGTGACTGAATAAATTGTAAACCCAATCTGGTGTTCATTTTCGCATGAACACACATGAACACCCGTACCCACCTGCCTCAGCCGCCCAACTTTGCGCTGCTAAACTTGTGCTCAACCACTTTTGTCTCGGGTATCTTGGCTGCTTGATCTAAAACACCACCACCCGCCGCTTCATGTCTCTCTGCAACTATTTACTTTCCTTTTCACATCCTTACCAACCTTTTTTCCAGAGTTCCCATACCCCTGAGCTTCTGTATGGCGCAGCTGAGCCGTTCCTCCTTCTTCCTTGTCTTCCTTAAAGCTCATCCCGCATCTGCACTTTGTTCTTCCTTGCACAGATGCCTCTTCACCCTCCCCCAGCTGGGAAAGCTGATGTGGCACCCACACAGAGCATGACATCCCCTCCTCCTCCTCCTCGGACGTGTACGCTCTTGCAGTGCCAACTTGAGGTCCCTGACTGGAGTACCCACATGTAAGTTTCAATCTTGAGAGAAAATAACAGTGGTAGGCAGAACAACAGGTGGGATGGCAGACAATAGCGGTGGGCGGTCCAAGTGACAATTGAGGGCTGAGTATCAGACAGGGCGGCGAGGACGATGTGCAGGACAGGACGACGGGGACGATGGGCGGGATGTCAGGAGGGTGGCAGTGCCATCAGATTCAAATGACCTGGGTGGCAAAGCGCAAACAATGGATTTTAAATCCATCCAAGTCCTTCCGGCAAACCGCAGCATCGTGAACAATTGGTCAAACTATACAGCACAAGATGCTCCGCAGTAATTACTAACAGCTTCAAGTTGTCATCGGTCAAGAGCCGGAGTCGGGACGAAACCCGTATACAGCCTACATGACTTTGATTGCTACGTCCTGAGCGGTATCAAGATGGCCCGGCGACGTTGTGAATTGAATAAGTGGCAAACTGCATGGACACACAAACACAGGCCCCGGGAAGCTCCACCAAAGGTTTGTCCCAAAATTTCCCGAATTTCGGCCTCAAAAACCCAATGTTTTGGAGCTCAAAACCCAAAGGGGGACAGGAGTCATTACGTGACATGTCACGTGTGGTCTAGTGTTGCCGCGGCTCGGCTACGGCTGGCTCGGCTCGGCTTTTGATGGCTTCGGAGCCATCACGGGAATAAGCCAGCCAAGCCATTTTTAAACGGCTGGCTTCGACGGCTTCGGCTCGGCTTCCAGCTCGAGCCGCGGCTCAGGTGCATTTGTAGTTTGTATTCCCTACAGCTCCCCTGCTAATTATAAGGGTCCTAAAGCATGACGTACACCAAATAATAAGTGTAGGTGTCCCTAGCTTGCTCCAAGTTGATCCACAAAAGCCGAAACCGATGTTCGTGCACGTGGGCTGACAGGGCTGTCAACTAAGCCGGAGTTCCAAAAGTGATTTGAAAGGGTTGGTGATTATGCTATGGACGACAAAAATGCATAGGGAGCAGTTAAAAGATTGTGGGATGGTCAGCTGGCTCACAGTGCAGTCAAATTGAAGGTCCAGTAAATCTGGTGCAAGCCATTTGCAGCCACGGCTTAGCCGTGGGTGAAGCCGGCTCAAGCCGGAGCCAAGCCAACGTAAGCCGCCATAGCAACGGCTGGCTCAGCTCAGCTTATTTTTGGCTTGGCTCCAACGGCTAGCCGAGCTGAGCCGAGCCGCGGCAACACTAGTGTGGTCTCTGGAAAGATCCGACTGTTTAAACAAAGCTAAGCTCGGCTTTCGCCGCCGGGAATTTTACCGAATGCCAACCAAATGTGCTCTCAAAAACCCAAAATCGGGACAAGGGTTGAGCAAAATTTTCCCTCAAAAACCTAAACTTGGGACAAGGAAATCGCCATTTTTTGAGCTCAAAAACCCAATTTTTGGGACAAACCTTTGGTGGAGATTCCCGGGGCCTACAAACACAAACACTCAGCAATCCATGCGGTAATCAATTTCGATACTGACACGTGATAAAGCGCGTTCGCGAAGAGAGAGACAAAGACAGTCAAACAAAAGTTGAAACACGCCCAGGTTTACTTGCAACCCTCATTCTAAGAAAAACTGATTGGGACGGCATACTTAATTTCTGGCATAAGAATACAAACAAAATTGAGACAAAACATCAGGAAAGCATAAGTCGAGTAGCAAAGCGATATGCGCAAAACAATTAGAACGAGCAACGCGGAGAATACATTCGAGAGGCGAATTCAACGCTGGTTCTCACCTCCAGTTGAGTTCAGACCTGGCAGCCGCCCGAGGCTCGGTGACAGAGTCCGGAGTGGCCTGTGCAGGATTTAATTGTAGGCAGAATAATCCAAGACACGCACATACAGGAACGCTGTGAGTGCAACAACCCGTTCATGATCTCACTGCTCTCGTCGATGTCAGCAACGAGCTTGAATTGGTGGGCAGCTTCGATGAGGAGCTAAGGATGTGTGAGTGGTAGGTGAGGCATGAAATATATTTTAATACTCACTAGTATGGCCGTTTGTATGTCCTGCAACTCGCGTTCGCATGTTGCAAGGCTACGGAAAATAACCCTTATGTTCTGCAGATAGAACTTCCACGGCATGGTGTGCATCTCCAGCAACTTGGATCGGAGTCTGGAGGTAGAGAGCTTGGCCCTGCGTGTGGTGTAAGCAATGATGCTCGTTCACAGAGGAGACGTACCGAAGGAGCCGAGTCTCGCTTTCGGCCAGCGCTAGATGATCTCGCATGCACTTCGCCTTCGCGCGCGTTAGGACGTCCTCGACGATGGTGATTGTGTTGTGGAGTCGGTCAAGCCGGACAGACGGGCGGTTGAGGTGGATGAAATAAACCGTAGGGCAGGCCGACGCGACTACGAGCGTGATGTTACGGAAGATTTTGCTTGGGATGAGGGATATTATCCAAAATAAGAGAGAAGATAGCAAGGGGCAATTGGTATCACACATGCTTGTGCCGGATGAAATGAACAACTAATATAACTAGCTGTATGCTCGAGTTCAAGCTAAGACCCACGTGAGATTGGGCGTACCTGACTATGCAGCTGCGGAGCTGGCTAGAAAGGACTTCGTGGTGGGTTGGGGAAGGCTTTGCTACAATGCAACAAGGATGGCGCCTATAAGTGCCGATCCTTCGCTTATAAGTACCCAGAATACTCACTGCATTACTGCATCTTCGACAAAGAAAAACCCAAATACACAGCCCTTGTGGACTGCCGACATGACTTCGATCGTCTGGCTCCGGCGATCGGGAAACAGTTGATCTATGAGTGATCGCGTAGCAAAACACAAGCTAGACATCATGTTCCCTATTCAGCGCGTTGGTCTCGAAGGAGTCGAAATATTCAACTGGTTGCCAGTGAGGTTACAGAAAATACACGGTACACCTCAAAGCCCTGGATGTACCATCACCTCCGCACCGCCGTATTCGAGAGATGGAGAAAATTGGCTAAAGCTGAGGAAGTCTTACCGAGATCGAGATGCACTACGATGAAAAAGAGGGAAAAGAGTGTATGTGTGTGCCCACGCACTCAACTATCAAACCATTCATTCCGTCAGCCAGGGAGGTGGCAGTGTCTCCGGAAAGAGTTGATTGCTGCTCGGCTGATGCCCTTCCTTTGGGCTTCGAAGCAGTATTGCTATCAGCACGAGCGAACTCTGTGAGTCTCTGACTGCCGATAGAATCCCCGTTATCCTTCTGCTACCGCATCCCCTCGCTAGCAGGCATAATTCCGCGCCACGATTAGCTAAGAGGAGTTCAACAGCATTTGAGGAGATTGGCGCGCGCTGAAATATACCAGCGTCCGATCACATTGATACAGGCTTTTTACTTTTTCGTGTTTGTTTCCCAGGAAGATTACGTGCCACGCGAGGCACTACTGGCGTGCCCATAGTCCAACTCTCCGGTTTTTAACGGAAGAAACAGGTACAAACTTCTCTTCATGGGCTGAATCTGGGTGCACGGAAATAGCTGTTATCCCTACATCCGCAACAGCTCCTTCGGCGGCGATGACGTTACCCCAGGTTTCCGGATACTCTTCTTTGAACAGCATGGCGGGACTTGTAGCTGATTTGTCAAGCTTCAAGTCTCATCAGCTTATTGATGTACCTGTTACTTAGACTCGTCACCAGTCTGCAACGTGCTTGCACGAAGGTTTGCCGTCTCTGGGCAGACTAGTGACGAGTCTACCTGTTACTTATTGAGCCGACAAAGGATCACGAACACGATTTGTGCGGCTTGAATCGGATGCCCGACGTGCGGCCTTTTTAAGGCCCGGAAAAGTGAAGAATAAAAGATTACACACGCTTCCATTCATTTGGATTCATTTGGAACAAGTTACCGCGTACTGGTACTCGAAGCTGACAATTGTACATACCTATACGCCAAGTCCGGTTTCTTAGGTGTCTATAACATTGGTTCAGGGAGCAAATTTCCGTGTTCGTGAGCTGGGTTAAAAAATAAAGATGAAAAAAAGATACAACCTTGTATTTGGATAAGGGTGTCGGACCCGGACGCTTCATCTATCGACAGCGTGTTGTGGATGTTTAGACTGTTCCTGCCGTTCCTGTGAGTTAGCTTTCGGACACGGCGGTCGAACCCCGAGTGGCCTTGTACCATTACTCGAACGCACTCGGTGTCGTACGCCATGTTCGAGTTGATGGCTGTCCTGGGAGGTTGAGTTGATTATCAATTTTTCTGAGTGAGGATGAGGGGAAAAAAAGAGTCCAGCTGAATTCAGACACAGAGAGAGAGCCAAACCCCAAGCGGCCCCGTGGAATACAGTTCGCCGATGTTAGCGGGTGCCGTCGTACCGTACACCATGCTAAGTTTCTTTCTCTTCTGCAAAACTGGAAGTAAGTGTGTTGCCCGGAGGGGCGAGGGAAATGAACGCACCGATAGACAGTTGAAAAAATGCGCAACAGGTTCAAGTCATCCGTGTGAAAGCGGGGAGGTATTAATCTGAGATTCATCAGCGAAAGAAAGCCGCGGGCAGAGCTTCAAAAAAAATCAAAAAAGGAAATTATATATTTCACACATTCAGACACAGGGATTCAAACCCTGAGCAGCCCCATAATCAAGTTCAAAGATCCACAACTATAGAGGCGGTGTTACCGTTATACCATGCCTGACATGATGTTCTTTCTTCCAGGTGGGTTTGACCTGATAAACTCGGCCAGTGGCTATAGCGAGTCTACAGAATAATAAAGAATCATGAGACGAATTCAAACCCAGGCGTATAAAGATCATGCAACTGAGAGGTTATAGCGTTTAGGTGTTCGGAGGCTAGTGTTCTGTCCATGCGCCATAACTGACCGCGCGAAGTTGAGCGAGACTTTGTCAAGATTTCATAAATTATTAGAAAGACAGTATTTTTGGTGATAGCGAACTATGGCGGTAAGGCTTATCTGAATGTAGAGTAATTGATTGCCAGGTCTTGCTGAATAAAGGTTGAGGTGAAGACCGAATGCAGACCGAGGTAAGTATGCATTCGGAAGTCCAGTAAACATGCATTCTGTTCTAAGAAAAGTTGAGCATTGGACTACATAGGTACCTGATATCATGGCACAATGTCGGCAGACGAAGAGGGTGTTTGCTCCCAAGGCTTCGAAGTGGAACCTGCTGAGTAGAGAGATGTCTAGACGCAGTGGAAAAATCAACCATGCGGATTCGGACAGGTCACTCATTTTCTTGTAGAAGGAGACGACCCTGACCACAACTTGAAGCTCTTAATTACTGCGGAGCATGACGTCATTAGACAAGGGCCGGAGTCGGTACAAAATATACGCAGCCTATATGACTTTGATTGCTGCGTCCTGGACCTGAGCGGTACCAAGATGGCCCGTTGCGTTGTGAAATGAATGAATAAGTGGCAAATTGCATGGACCCACAAACATAAACACTTGGCGGCAATCAATTTTGGCACTAACACGTGATGACGCGCGTTCGCGAAGAGAGAGAGACAAAGACAGTCAAACAAAAGTTGAAACACGCCCAAGCTTGCTTGCAACCCTCGTCCAAAAGAAAAATCGATCGTTAGGCGCACTTTAAATACACACGAAAACATCAAGAAAGCATAGGTTGAGTAGCAAAGGAGGAATGAGCGAAAACATTGTAACATGCACTGAAAAATACATTCGAGAACTAAAACTTTGGTGGAGGTATAGTAAATCAGAGGCGAGGATCACCCCAAGTAGAGTTTAGACTTCGAAGTCCGTTGCAACTCGGTGGTAAAGTCCGCGACGGCCTAAGCAGGATTTCAATCGTGGTTGAGAGAATTCAAGAAACACATACTGGAACGCTGCGAGTGCGGCACCCCGCTCATGATCTCGCTGCTCTCGTTTATGTCGGTAACGAGTTTGTATTGGTGTGCAGCTTCGATGAGGAGCTAAGGGTATGTGAGTGATGAGTTGGTCATGAAGTATTTCACTGATACTCACCAGCATGGCCGTTTGTATGTCCTGCAACTCGCGTTCGCATGTTGCAAGGCTGCGGAAAATAGCCCTTATGTTCTGGAGATAAAATTTCCAGGGCAAGTTGTGCGTCTCCAGTGACTGAGACTGGAGTCTGGAGGCGGAGAGCTTGACCCTGTGTGTGGTTGAAAGTAATCATCACCGTGCATCAACGAGACCTACCGGAGGAACCGAGTCTCGTTCTCGGCCACCGCTAGATAATCCCGCATGCACTTCGCCTTCGCGCGGGTTAAGATGCCCTCGACGATGGTGATTGTGTTTTGGAGTCGGTTAAGCCGGACGGACGGGTGATTGAGGTGGATGAAATAAACCATAAAGCAGGCCGACGCGACTGCGAGCGTGATGTAACGGAAGATGTTGTTTGGGATGAGAGATATTATCCAAAGTAAGAGAGAGGGTAGCAAGGGACAATTGGTATCACACATGCTTGGGAGGGATGAAATGAACATGGCTTGAACAGTAGCTTTAATAACTGGCGGTAGGTGCTCAAGTTCAAGCTAGGGCGCACCTTGGCGTAGTTACCTAGAAAGTATTGCGGGTGTAAGGAGGGGAAAGCTTGATACGATGTTCAGCAACGAGGATGGCGCCTAAATACTCATCCTCGGACTGCCGACATAACTTCTGGTTCCGGGGATCACTGGCATCTTCGATAAAGAAAAATCTTAAGACGAAGGGGCGGGGTCGGGGCGAAACCCAAATACACAGCCCTTTAAATTGGACTGCGGACATGGCATCGACCGTCTGGTTCCGCTGCCGACATAACTTCTGGTTCCGGCGATCACTGGCATCTTCGACAAAGAAAAATCTTAAGACGAAGGGGCGGGGTCGGGGAGAAACCCAAATACACAGCCCTTTTGGACTGCCGACATGACTTCGATCGTCTGGGTCCGGCGGAAAACAGTTGATCTATGAGTGGCAAAACACAAGAGAAGGAAACAACAATTGTGGAGAGCCCGAAAGACAACAGATTAAGACTGTTTCGCACTGAAGAAAGACGCCCGAGGTGGTCTGATCTATGAGGTTACAGCACAGGCGTCCAGTCATGTTCCCTATTTAGCGCGTTGCGTCGTCAACTAGTTCGGGTTACTGTACCATTTCGACCAAAGGTTCAGGTGACGGGTAACGGAGGGTCATGAACTGAACAATTTTGGCCCAGGTGACGCTGACGGAGCGATTTTGAAGACTAAATAGCCTGAAAAACGTTGGAAAAACGTTCAAAATTTCCGGTCCGGCATCCGCCGGCGTCCATTTATGGCAATTTCGGGTGATTGCCGAGAACTGAACATCGAGTTCAGTGAAATTGAAGTGACAGTGACATGGCGTGAACTTTTGATCAAAATGGTACAGTACAGAAAATATACCGTAAGGGTACACCTCAAAGCCCTGGATGCGTACCATCACCTCCGCAAGGCCGTAGTCACTATTCGAGTGTGCCCATGCACTTAAGCCATTCATTCCGTCGGAACAAAACCCAGGTGGTGATGTCTCCGAAGCAGATCCGTATCGACTCTCTGGCAGGCACAAATTCGGCGCCACGATCAGCGGGCATATTTTGTCCGTATTGTGCCTGCCCTTGAAGCGGAACATGACGTGCGTCCGCTGAGCGTATATTGCCGAAAAAGTTGCTGTGCGACCGAGATTGACCGCAAAGGGCATCGTGGATTCAAGGGTAGGTGCTGCGGATGCACTATTTCGTGGTCGTTGGGAAAATAGAGGAGATTGGCGCGCGCTAAAATATACCGGCATCCAATCAAATCGATACCAGTAACTGGCTTCTTGCACCTTTTCATGAGGGTTCCCCAGATCAAAGAATAGGTGCTCCGCGAGGCACTACAGGAGTGTGCTTAGTCCACTTTCCGATTTTTAACGGAAGAAACGCGTACGAAGTTCTTTTCATGCGCTGAGTCTGGGTGCACGGAAATAGTTGTCATCCCTATGTATGTTCGCAACAGCTCCTTCGGCGGCGATAACGCGAACCTAGGTTTCCGGATAGTCTTCTTCGAACAGCATGACGAGACTTGCAGTTGATTGGCAAGCTTCAAGTCTCATCAGCTTGTTAATGTACCTGTTACTTATTGAGCCGCCAAAGGATCACGAACACGATTTGTGCCGCTTGAATTGGATGCCCGCGTCCTGAAGATCGCGGCCTTAAAAATTCCACACGCTTCCATTCCTTTGGAAACAAGTTACTGCGTACACCTCCTCGGTGCATTGTCGATTTCTATAACATTGGTTCAGTGAGCATATTTCTGGCTTCGTGAGCTGGGTTGAAAAATAAAGAACCTTGAATTTGGACACGGGTGTCGGACCCGAACGCCTCATTAGCGTCTTGTGGATGTTTAGACCGTGCTTGCTATTCCTGTGAAGCTTTTGTGAGTTAGCTTTACCAAAAAAAAAAAAAACCCCCGAAGAACGATGGTATATTCGCACACGGCAGTCGAACCGAGCCCCGAGTTGGCTCGTACCGGTACATGAACGCGCAAATGCGCCGGCGGTGTCGTAAACCATGTTCGAGTTGATGGCTATTCTGGGAGGTTTGAGTTGGTTAACAAATTTCTGAGCGACGATAAGGAAAAAAGAACCCAGCTGAATTCGAACAGACACAGGGAGTCGGATCCCAAGCGGCCGCGTGGAATATAGTTCGTCGATGTAAGCAGGCGCCCGTGTACCGTACACCATGTCCGAGTTGCTTTCTCCTCTGGACATAGCCGGTTGATAAAACGCCACCAGGTTAAAGTCACCCATGTGAAAGCGGAGAGATATTTATCCAAGAACAATCAGCGAAAGAAAAGGCAAGAGCGGGCAGAACACCAAGGAAACGGGAAGAAAATGAAAAAGGGAAATTATATATTTCACACATTCAGACACAGGGATTCGAACCCTGATCAGCCTCCGACTCGTATGTGAGTGTTGTGGAAACCTCAACTAAGATTAGACGCGGCGTTACCGTTACACCATGTCTGACAGGATATCCTTCCTACTAGCTGGGATCAACCCTGCCAGTGGCCACAGCGAGTCTGCAGAATGATAATAAATTATGAGACGGGCTCAAACCTGGCCAAGTTCATATACCGGCAGGGGTATGAAGATCATAAACCGAGAGGTTATACACCCACGCCGCGTCCGAGTGTTCGGAAGGCCAGCGTTCTGTCCACTGGCATGCACCATAACTGACGCGCGCTGAGCGAGACTTTGGCAAGATTTGGTCAAGGAGGCGCAAAGTTCTCGGTTAAGGCATCGAGGCTGGTAGCCTGGTAGTCCAGGCCGAAGCTAAGAGTCAGACCTGCGCGGAGCCGTGCTCAGTTGGGTGATGGGGGTGAAAACGAGCCTCAGCGAGGTGTTTCTGAAGGAGGATGCGCAGTAAACAGGTACAAACAACGGCGCGCGGAAAACCGACATCTTTCTTTTATCGGCTGGTGCACCACGTTCTCTGGCGTGATGGTCGAGTCGTCGCTCTCCAATTGGGACGGCTCGCAGAGTCCCAAGAAGACTAAACCGCCGGTTCCAAGTCAAAGCACGAGTAGCAATTCTTTGGTGGCAATCGCACGACCGCATCCAGCTACTGCTTCTTCGTCGAGTGCCAAAGACGTGGATCTAGAGCAGCAAAACCGTGTTGAAGTCTCTCAAAAGTCTACTCAAAGTAACGCGGATGAGAAACAAAAACAGGCATGTAGATTCCGTTTGATTATTGCCTAGACATTTGCTGTCATGGCCGGACTTGAAGCTAATTATTGACGCGCAGACTTCCTTGTACCCGACTTCGAAACTGGCGCCGTCTTCGGTCATGGCCATGGGAGCAGCCACCTTACCCGCGGTACGTGTCGCCACTGCGCCACGGAGTTTGCTCATAGACTGCCACAATACAGCCTCAGAAATCGCCCCTGCTTCCCTCATTAGTGCGTCTTTTCCTTTGCTTCATTCATCTTGAGCACCAGCCAATTTTTGTGTTGCAGCCGCTTCACTTCGACGCGCCATCGTTGGCGTTGGGCCCAGCCCTCCACCCGTCGTCCCCTAGTGCGACTGCACCCTTCGGCCCGCCTCGCGCCCCCAGCGAACTCAACTACAGCATCGGTTTCGGCGCCCCAGGCCCGGCTTTGCGCGTCCCCTCGACATCACTATCCTCTCTATCGGCCCTCTCCATCCCAGCACTCGACTCCATCTCCTCCAAACCCCCGACGCCTAAATCCACGTCGTCTTCTTCCGCATCGTCCAGAAAATTGCCTCAAACCTCGGCCTCAGCACAAAGACATCCGTCTCGGTCTTCTACGTCGGCATCAGTACCAGTCTCATCATCCTCGAAGCCACCGCCTACTGCGACGCGTCCAGGCCAGGGGTCGTGGTGGGTTGATGGCCTGAAGGAGGTGGGTATTTTCCATCTCCATTTCTTTCGGGGGTAGCGAGGGCGGGCTTTGTGGAGAGGTTTTCTGGCCGCTTGCTTTGATAGGCGACTTTTCGCTCCTAATTCCTGGACGTTGGCGATCAGCGCGATCACACGCTCCTTTTCCACTCTCTGTGTGCATCGTACAGCGTCCCCGCGAATCCGTATACGCTATGCGTGGCTGCTTCGAAGTATGCCCCATCCCATCCACTCCTCTTCCCGCGATTTTGCCTTGCCTCGCTCTCTCCCCCTTGTCTAGTCTATTCCTTCTGTATTCGTCGCTGACCCGCTCTGACAGGACCCCACCAAGGGACGGGATGCCGCTCCGAGTATAATGACACAGAAATTCCCGACGGAGACTTCGACTTCTGCGGCTCAGAGACGGTCGTCGGCGGGATCACAGCTGCCGCCACACTCGAAAACGTTCCAGGAGAAGGAGGAGACGGAGACGGTCAGGGAGAAGGAGGGCAAGCAAAACAAGAGCGAGAAGGGGAAGGAGCTCGTGACGTACCTGTCGCGCTCGAAGGTGCATCCTATCCCCTCATTTCTTTTGGTTTGTCTGTGTTGATACAGGATGGCTAGGCTGGGAGCGCGGCGAGTGGGAGTGTTTATGGGGGTAGGAGCGTTAATGGGAAGAGCGCGAGCCGGGGCTCGAGTATAAGCAGAAGCGTTGGGAGGAAAGAGACGGAGCAGGTGCGTCTGCGCTCTTTTATACGGACGAGCGAGGCTGAGGCTGACTTGGCCATGTGTTTCCCGCAGCAGCAGCTCTTCATGCCCTCACCCGAACACCCGTCCTTGTCCGTCACCTCATCCCTTCCGCCCTCTCCTGCACGCGACGTCGCCCACCTCTTCACACCGCCGCCGGACGAGCTGTTCACGCCCCCGCCCGAAGGGCCGCAGAAGCGCAAGCGCGAGGTGATGGACTACGTGGTCGTGCCGCGCGCGAGGTATGCGCTCAAACGTGCGAGGACGAACGACAGCTACAGCGTTCGGGGAGAGAGCATGCGGACGGGGAGGGGCGAAAGCCGTGGTTTGCAACGGCGGAGTGCGAGCAGGGGGTATAGCGCGCGGACGGGGAGTGCGGCGCTGGCGCCGCGGCAGAGGAACAGCGAATACGACGACGACGACGACGACGACGACGACAGCGACAGCGACAGCGACAGCGACAGCGAAGGCGAGAGTCGGAGCCGGAGTAGGACACGCACGGATCAGCCGAAGAAGCTCAAGACGTACGAGGTGCATATGTCTGTTGGGGACGCGCTGAACAACGCTTGGGCGCGCAATGAGGCTGCGGGAACGCTTCCGGTGGGTCTGGTGAAGGGGGCGGTGAGGGGGAAGAGGAAAGAGCGCGAGCGCGATAGTGACAGAGAAAGTAAGGTGGAGAAGAGAGCAGAAGTGGAGGGGGCGAGAAAGCGGGCAAGGACGGGGGGGCGCGAGACGATGGAGAGGGAGGCACGGATCCCCATGAGCACGGACGACCGCGCGCAACCCGAAAAACGTGTGCGGAAGCCGCCACGGCGACCCGACGACGTGAGCGTTGCGCCTGCGCGCGCGCCCATTCCTGTTCAGCGCGGGGCGTGGTGCGAGGAGGAGGGCGACGTGACGCGCCTGCGTTTCGATGTCCTGGTCGAGGAGGCAGATCGTCTTGCGTCTGCCGCACTGCTGCACACCGGAATCCCCGGTATTGCAGCTTGGGCCGCGATCGGCGCGAATTTGGAGATCGGGGCCCGGGTGCCGTGGTCGGGCGCACCGTGTCCTGTGTGGCCCCTGCCGCGCGGTTCAGGAGCGGACGCCAACATATCGGCGGGTGGTTTGGTGCGCGGCAGTGACGACGACGTCGAGGATGGGCGTGAGGAGAAGGCGAAGGGCGGAAGGAAGGCGCGCTTGGAGGTGCCGCGGGGGCGGTCAACGCAAAGGGCCAGTCAGCAGCCTTCGGAGAAGGAGGTTTCACACGCTCAGCAGCAACACCAGAAGCAGGGACCTTCGACGCTGCCTGAGACGCAGATTTTTCGGACGGAGCAATCTCAATTGCGTTTGGACCTCTCCAAACCAAACCCCAAACTGAAGGTGAAGCCCCACGCGCTGCGCACGCCATCGAAGTCGGCGCCGTCGATGTTTTCGCAGTCACTTACCCCCACGACGTCGTTCCATTCCCCGCTCCCGTTATCTTCACCCACGACTGCCACCTCCGCGCCACCGCCGCCTACCCCCACTCTATTCTCGCCGTCTTCAGCCGCCCTATCTTTTGGTCCCGTCGGTTTACCGCTGATGATGGCGGAGGACGTGACGATGCCGATGCCGCTGTCCGCGAAGGCGAGGGGTAAGCAGAAGGCTCCGACCGAGGGTGAGGAGAGGACACCGAGTCCAGCGCATGTCGACACATGGAATCAAAGGTCTGGGAGTCGCGGGCCGAGGTCGGCGAGCCGTGGACGTAGATCGACCAGCAGACGCCCGTCGGCGAGCTACGGACACAGCGGGTCTGCCTTGCACTCTCCAATCGAGATGAGCGACATCTTACATGAATTCGGCCCGTCGCCAACTAGACCTGGCCTGGAAATCAGCTCGCATGCTCTGCAGTACTATCCCATCATCCCGCCGATCCCCAGTTCTGTTTCCGATCCCTTCATGCATTCGCCCATTGCTCAACAGCCCGCGCAGGGCTTTTATCCCGCTCTGGACAATCAGCCATACGGAGACGGGACGATCGATCCGTCGCTGCTACTCGGCGGTGGGATGATGGGACCTGACGTGGAGGATTCGTACGAGCCAGGGGTGGAGGACTCATACGAGCGTGATGAAGAGGATGCGCGAATGGCCAGTCCCTCACCTTCTGCAGCGTCTTCCTCGTCGTCCGCCCAGCCTTCTGTGTCCGCCACTGCGCTTCGTGTTTCTGGGCGCCGGCGCATAGAACGCCATGTTCCCGATGATATGATCCGCACCGACCTGCTCGAGTCAGATGACAGCTCCTCTGCTGGCTCCTTGTCCAGCTTTACCGACTCCCGTTCCCCATCACCTAAACCCAAATCCAAACCCGCACCTCAACCCAAGCCCACTGCTGTTAAACGCCGCAAAGTCAAAGAAGTCAAGGGCGGCGAGCCCAAGGTCAATGACCCGGTCATTCCTGCTGTATATAGCTCCGAACCATTTTTTCGCTACAGCGGCCCACCCTGGCCTCCCGGCGATCCTGACCTGTTTTGCCATCAATGCCGGAGGAAGACGCGTCGCCTGAGCATGCAGTTCGACGACTGCAGTCACGTTTACTGCGTGGGGTGTATTATGATGAAGCACGTACTTCGTCTTCTCTTCGTCTTTCTCGCTGATCTTCTTTGACTCTAGATACCCGGCAGATACCATTGCATTCGAGCGCATAACGCCCAATGACAACTGTCCCAGATGCAATGACACTTGTTCGTGTGACAATTGTACCTCGCGCAGGGGGGAGGCGTACTTATATGGGAGGACGGTGAAAGTCAGATCGGAGCAGGAGCCGCTCACACCCCGTATCCCGCGCACAACTGTCATGGCGCGCGTCCAGAACAACCCTTACAATGTGATGAGCCAGATGGTCATCGAGCCGACCGCCTAC